CAGTGAGGTTATTCCTTCTCTCAATTCTTCTGGGACATCACGCCTCCTTTGCGCATTATCTCGACGAGCCTCATGACTTTCTGGCACCAGTCGTGGATGACTTCGTTTCGTCTCGGTCTATTTACTGCATCAAGAGGAATGTGTGTGAGCACATTTAGTTCGACATTTCCATGTTTCGAGTATGGACTCGGTTTGCCTCTGTACCAGGTCGGTCACGTTCCCGACGTTATAGTTACCTATCAGATCGGCGGGCAATTGCTAAAAATTTACTTATAAGGCAAACGAGATTACCAAATACAGGTGCCTTTTGATTGTCTCGGCCTTGATGAACTTCGGAAGACTTTACGGTATTTGATAATCGCGCGGTTCAACACCTGCAAAATATCTGTGATAGTCAAGTCGTTAAGTTCCTCGCGTGACAGATGCGACAAGCAGGTCGCAATGATCGCCAAGAAATATTTTTGCATTTCTAGCCGCCGTCTTGCCCTTTGTTGATCGATCATCACCAACTAAGCTTTGGTGAAATTTGTTCAGCATTTGGAACAATTTTGGAAAGTTGTTAAGACAGTCTTGCGAGGTGTACCATGCAACAAACAAATTTTTACCACGTACGATGCAGTACTAGTCCTGTTAGAAAAAAATTCGTTATCATACCATTAGCATAAACGTACTTTAAGGGGATCATCGCGGATAAAGTAAGTTGCCATAGACTCGGTACAGAATTCGATCAAGTTATTTTCAGCGATACTTATAGCTCCGTAATATTGAAGTATCCGTGCATGGCAATGTTATTAGCACGGCTACCTTCAAACGCTTGGCATTTCCTTTCGGTCTTCATGTGCAGAGGGTTGCAGCCGCGACTTGGCATCCTTCTACAGGATGGAGGCAGAACCGATTAGTTTAGACTTTAGAGAGAGCAGTTTAGAGCAGTCATTGCTCGCATGAAAGAAAGGGGATGGACGTGCGGTTGGTTTTTTTCCAGCCCCTCCTGTATTCTCATTTCAGTAGCCAACAGAGGGTTGCAACCCTCTGCAACCTCGTGGTCAACCTCGTGGCTTTGCTGTGCTCGCTTATTTCGAGAACAATCAATCCGTGATTGCAACGCAAAGAGCTTTTCGGCGGCTGTTCAATATTCCACGCAATGGAATATTGAACAGGCGAACACAATTCGGTCCTGGGTTAGGCAGTTGGAGGCAACTGGTAACACATTAAGAAGAGATACACATGGCTACACATGCCGACGCAGGTCCATCAGAACACCAGAAAATGTCGAGACGCCGAGAGCAGCAGTCATCCCCTCGCCAAGACGTTCAGCAGGAAGGCATGCCGTTGCTTCGGGAATCTCCTCGCGCAGTTTGAGGAAGATTCTGCACACGGATTTGCATTTCCAGTCCTACATAATGATGATGGCCCAACAATTGAACGAAGCAGACTTTGCCAGCCGCCGAAATCTGTATGAGAACATGCTTGAAGAGATTGCTCCCGACGCAGCGTTCTTCAGCAGTGATGGGCGCATTTTAACCTCTGTGGGATTGTAAATAAGCAAAATTTTCGATACTGGGCTGAAGAGAACCCACAAATTATCCATCTAAGACCACTACATTCTCCCAAACTGTCTGGTATACCATCTCACAATTTGGTGTGATTGGTCTATACTTCTTTGAGGAAGGAGTAACTGTGACGGTGAATTCCGAACGTTATGCTGAAATGTTGCAAAATTTCTTGCATCCTAGGATGGAAAACATTGTTGAAAATAGCATTGGGAGACGTGTGGTTCCAGCAGGATGGGGCAACAGCTCACACAGCCCTGATGTCACTCAATGTTTTGAGACGCATGTTTCCCGGACGTCTGGTGTCAGAGGGGTGATTTACAGTGGCCTGCGAGGTCACCTAATTTGAGCATTTGCGATTTCTTTCTTTGGGGACATCTAAAAGAAAAAGTGATTAGAAGTCGCCTTCACACCCTACCACAGCTAAGGGAACGGATTATTGCAGAGGTAATGGCCATAGTGAATATCTCGCCATATGAGTGAACGTGCTGTAGGAAACTTCCGAGAACTACTCCAACAGTGTGTTGCAGCTAACGGCCACCAAAAAGTACCGGTATTCAAAATGGTACGTTATGCTAACCTCGAGGAAAATAAACTTTCTTCTTTATGTACCTCCATTACTCTTTCATTTCGCCTCAAAACTGCCTAATCAGTTCTGCCCCACCCTGTATAACACTAGCCCACATAATGCCTGTATGACTTTCTATTGTATAGTAAAAGACTATGTTGGAGATCTTCTAACTCAGGCATCATGGTGTTAAGATCAGGAACGTTAGCAACTGCACCTAGTGAAACTGGCTTGCAAATGCATTTCAATACCTTTATTTCCATGAACTGAGCTACTAATTGTAGGTTCGAAAAAGGTGACAAAAATTCTCAATATAATACTTAATACTAGTGAAAAAATTTCACGATTTTAACCCACATAGCGTTTTATTAGATTCAATGGAAGATTGCGTGCATAATTTTTTTATGGCATTCTTGTACTCTCTTAAATTTATTAATTACCTATTTTTGCAACTCTTGCTGCACTTGTGTTGCGTACTTGTAGAGAATATTAGCCTCATGTCTGGAAATATTTTGGTGAACCTTCCTAGTGTTGCGAAAGAAAATTTCCTCAGCCGTAAGAGGTGGTTTACCCGGCTCATTCCTGAACGTTCCTACCACTCAGCTTCTCTGCAATTTATTGACCGAAATCGCCGAAATTCCTTTTTGTGGTGGGCGTATTTGTTAGGCGAGTCCAGCTCCATCGTCAGTTCGTACAATCTAGAACATACATAGAAAGTCACAAGTTAATACAATTGAAAGCACAGAACACAATTAAAATCTAAATTTAAAAGTAATGGGGCATAAAAACCTATCTATTCACAATTTCAAGGGGATAGGAGCTCACAGCTGAATTTAAACTGGGCCTAAGCTTAAAAATGTACAATGATTCTAAGATACGCAAATCTGAAGTACCGGAGGTAGAAGCTAACACCCTAAAGTCACTGTCAGAAACAGGCACATTACACTGCTCGGCGTGAGTGCGCACAGCCAAATGAGGGGGGGCGCGATAGCAACTGTCCGGTCCTACAACTCCTGCCCTTATGCTCAGCGATCCTGGAATAAAGATTGCGTGAAGTCATGCCGACGTACGCAGATGCACATTGTGCACAACGAAATTGATAAACCAGGGACGATCGCATATGAACAGGGAGCATATCTTTATATCTAAAAAAAGAACCGATTTTGAAACTGTTAACCAGAACAATATGGAGTTTAACGCTTGGAAAGTATCTATTGAACAAGGCTTTTAATTCTCTTGACATAGCTTCGGACGCAGGGCCGAAGTATGGAAAAGAACAATAAATAACGTTCCTACTATCGTGCTCGGGAGCAACCTCACTGAATCGCTTCGACAATAGATGTTCAATAGATACTTTCCAAGCGTTAAACTCCATATTGTTCTGGTTAACAGTTTCAAAAGCGGTTCTTTTTTTAGATATAAAGATATGCTCCCTGTTCATATGCGATCGTCCCTGGTTTATCAATTTCGTTTTGCACAATGTGCATCTGCGTACGTCGGTATGACTTCACGCAATCTTTATTCCAGGATCGCTGAGCATAAGGGCAGGAGTTGTAGGACCGGACAGTTGCTATCGCGCCCCCCTCATTCGGCTGTGCGCACTCACGCCGAGCAGTGTGATGTGCCTGTTTCTGACAGTGACTTTAGGGCGTTAGCTTCTACCTCCGGTACTTCAGATTTGCGTATCTTAGAATCATTGTACATTTTTAAGCTTAGGCCCAGTTTAAATTCAGCTGTGAGCTCCTATCCCCTTGAAATTGTGAATAGATAGGTTTTTATGCCCTATTACTTGTAAATTTAGGTTCTAATTGTGTTCTGTGCTTTCAATTGTATTAACTTGCGACTTTCTATGTATGTTCTAGATTCTACGAACTGACGATGGAGCTGGACTCCGAAACGTTTTCTATAAAGATATGAATTTTTGTGGACTATTCTTTGCTTTTAAATTTTTAGTCAACTTGCGATTTAAGCAAATAAGTGACATTAATACTTTATCTAGTCTGTTCTTGAACGCGTTCATACTTGGAGCGCCAACGATGTCATCGAGTAGGCTGTTCCACATGTTGGTATGCTGGTTTTTAAATAATATTTAATACTATTAAGTAAAATCTAAAAGCTTTATCTATAAATGTAGCGGTAGCGCAGTTGCGGCAAAACCTCGTATTGCTACTTAATTATGTAGCGGGCGCTACCGCTACCGCTAAAATTGCTTAAATGTAGCGCGCGCCGCTACCGCTACATTTAGCGCGCTACTGCCCACCTCTGCGTATACGAACTGTTAAATCCATGCGTTAGTTTGATAGCTTTTGAGACTGGGGTACATTGAACTTATTCATACAGCATTAGAACCTTTTCGAGCAATTTTCGCTCTTGGTTCTCTCGAAAATTGAGGAAAGAAGTTGAACAATTTCGTGTTTCGCCTTTGAAATGCAAAGCAATTTAAAGCGCAGGATGGAAGTCGTCCGTGGATGTGAGAGGGCGTGCTGTGATTAAGAGGTTCAAAGTCTGTACGATTTCATGTGGTAGTTAAGAAACTCATTTAAGGCATCGTCCATCCTCCAGTTGTGCTTTAGGCATTTCTCTACGCTTACGAATGTAAATTATCCAAAAATGGATAAATATTTTTACATTAGGAATTTGAGATTGATTAAGGAGGGCTTACACCAACAAATTACACCAACCTTAGCAACGATCCAATTGACGATTACCGACGCGAATGAGGTTTGCTAAACCAAGATAGCACTGACATTTATTAGGAAATGAAATAACATAAATCATTACGTGCTTTAAAGCATCTGCGTGATCTGTTAAAAATTACGTAAGGATAGTTACGATATGCTAGCTCCAAGTAACTAGTTCCCACTATGTTGTTTTTTGGCAATAGTAATTACACATTGGTTCTTATACAGTTATTTTTAAACCGTCAAATTGCTCGAGCAAGTGCGAGTCTGTGGCTGTTTTCTTGATTATAAATTATTAAAATCAATTAGGTATAGTGACGGAAACACAAAACTGTTCACTCAGAAAATGATCACACACAGATAGACATACACAAGGCAAAAAATGACATCAACATTTGTCATTCTGTAGGATCTCGTGTGAGTGACACGGAGATTGCACGGACCGTGACATATTTTCAGTCGTTAGTTGGATTTTATCTTCATAGTCTTGAGCTTCACAAAGCCCAACTCTGCCAAGAAGAGCACCGATGACGACAACAGGCCGAGCACGAGCAGCAGGAACGCGCCCTGCAGTTCGTCCAGGGACAAGCTCGACACCGACGCCTGAGGGGCACCAGACTCTCGTTAGTTGGTCCAAGGACAAGCTCGAAAGCGACGCCTGTGGGGCACCAGAGTCTCGTTAGTTGGTTCAAGGACAAGCTCCACACCGACGCCTGCGGGGCACCCGAGTCTCGTTAGTTGGTCCAAGGACAAGCTACACACCGATGCCTGTGGGGCACCAGAATCTCGTTAGTTGGCCCAGGAACAAGCTCGACACCGACGCCTGCGGGCATCAGAGTCTCGTTAGTTGGCCCAGAGACAAGCTCGACACCGACGCCTGCGGGCATCAGAGTCTCGTTAGTTGGTCCAAGGATAAGCTCGACACCGACGCTTGTGGGGCACCAGAGTCTTGTTAGTTGGCCCAGGGACAAGCTCGACACCCACGCCAGCGGGGCACGGGAGTCTCGTTAATTGGTTCAGGGACAAGCTCGTCCCCGACGCCTGCGGGGCACGGGAGTCTCGTTAATTGGTTCAGGGACAAGCTCGACCACGACGCCTGCGGGGTACGGGAGTCTCGTTAATTGGTTCAGGGACAGCTCGACATCGACGCATGCGGGGCAACAGAATCTCGTTAGGCTTGGCACCCACCCGCGCTCAACTCCTGCTGCTGCTAAGCTATTGTGGTTCGTAAGCGTGTTAAAAGTCACAATGTAGTTACTTTTTAATCTCTATTGGAGACCTAGAGTTTTCCACCTCTAGCAAATTGTATTCAATCTTTGGAAGTTAATGAAGATCGACCAACTTCTCTCACTAAAATTTCTGCAACGCTCTCATTCGGAAGCGGCTTTTGGTCGTTAATTTGCAAATGGGTTGATTATTAAGGACAGTTATTTCCATGTTAAACCGGGATTTCTGTGAAATTCATCACAGAATTTTGTGCTTATCACGGAATCACGGTGAGCATGACACGAATATTAATTATTTGGAATTAGAACAGGGAATTTGTAACATTAATTCTTGATATCGATAGAATTTTGTTGCGCTAACTTGGTAGCACTACTTCTCTACCGCACGCTGCTCCTCTGGAAAACGGGGCGCATGCCGGAGGCCAGCTTTGCCAAACTTCACACTTAGTTCATATTCCTTTCCTTAGGTAAGAACGCTAGAGTGCGTAACGGCCTATGAAGTCAAGTGCTCAAAGCCATAGCGCCGGATGTCCACAGCCACAAAATAAGCCTGCCAAAGATAAACATGGCCATACTGCATCTGGCCAAACCTCTTCTAGCCTAAACTCTTCAGGCCTAACCTATACGAGGAGCTGGAACCTTTCTGCACTCAAAACAAACCTCAGCAGACCTTACCTAACCTTTGGACCGCCTTAAAAAGGCGGTCCAAGTGTGCTGGTAGAGCCAGACATTGGCTGCAAGAAGGTTGTGAGCCGGGACAGCGTGAATAGGTTAGGCCAGAAGGGAGCGCAGCCGTGGGTAACAAAATTGACTCGTAAACAGGCCCTGGGCCCAACGCCAACCATCAGCATGCAATATCTACACATAGTCTCAGAGCTGTGGGTAACTCCTGTGTGTCAATGAGCTGTGGGTAACTCCGGCTAACATTAAATTCGCTTAGCACAACACAGCCACTGCTTCACACGCTGGAGCACAACTAGCTGGAGCTCAATAGGCCCTACCGCAACCTACCGCAACAGGCGGCGCAGGTTAGGTTAGGTTAGGTTAAGTTACGTTAGGAGTAGCTGTTGCGGTAGGGCCTGTTGCGCTCCGGCCAGTTGTGCTCCGGCGCTGTGAACCAGTGCCTGTGACTGAACGGCACTGTTGTGGCGGCCGCTATGTGTCGAGAGCCATGAAGATGCTCTGCTGCGTTACGCTCGGGAAGGTATATGAATCGCACTGTGGACTTGGGCTATGCTTACCTCTAGCTATCCACCCAGGCCAGAAAAGGTTAGGCCGGAGTAGGTATAGCCGGATACGGAACTGCCTGCTTATTTAAGCAGTGGCTGAAGACCTGCGGCGCTATTATCTTTCGACAGTGTGTTGCTTGTCTGGATTACGGAGTTCAAGCGTAGTGTGCGGCTGAGTAAGTTAATGCATGATGAAGCTAAGCGTTGCTCCAGGGCTTATTTAAGAGTAAACTTTGTGGCCTACGGCTGCGCCCTCTGGAAAACTCGACCGAATTGGTAGTCGTTTGTCCGCATCGCGAGTTGAATATCAAGTTTTATGCGACTTGTCTTTAGAACACAAAAAAAAAACTCCTTCAGATAGCCATTTTACTTCTATATGCATCTGCAAACGAACCTTGCTGCAAAACCAAAGTAACATTGAATTAAAAATTCTGTTAATTAAAATAAAAATAATTAAAATAATACAAAATTATTATCATCTAATAGGCAATGAAAAAATACGCAAAGTGCAAAATAAATGCGATGCTCATGTTAAAAATGCACAATCAAATAAAAAAAAACGCCGTATGTAATGCTGATAGGATAGTAAGTGAGGGAGGCGATTCGGTCACAAGTGAAAGAGAAAATTCTGCAAGATAGCTTGTAAATTATTCCATTCTGTATGTCATCTACGGTGAAGCCAATAAAGATTGGTGTTACACCATAAATAAACTACAAAATTTTTAACCATTACTGAATCACTGGTATGTTCACTTGCACCGGAATAGTTTTTCAATTCCCCGTCTTATTGCATCCGATGTTAACTCACAATGCCTTGCACGATGACGTCGGTTTTGGCGAAGTGATTTCTGTAGAGTTTACCGACAATGCCGGCTTCAACGAGTCTCTGCAATGTGCTGGAAATGGTTTCGGTGTACGGAGTGTACTTGGGCAGGAACCATATGAGATACCCAGAATAGACCTGCGAACGGCACGTTAGATTCAAATAAGTTTATGTCTATCAAATTCTGTTTTATGTTTATCATGTTTATGTTTATCAAAATTCTTTATATTTATCAAATTCTGTGTCAAGTTTCCTGTAAATTATCGTTTCATCTCACCTGTTCTTTGAGAATATATGTTTCTTTGCTAACTCCATACTTCATCCGCAACCCCATCAGGAAGGAATAGGCCTCGATGAAAGCGTGAGTTCCATTCTTAACGACCATCTCCATGGCAGGGTCGTAGTAGTGATCTTTGAAAAAGCGAATATGCATCACTTCTCTTATCCTGCGCTCCGCAGCCAATGACTTACACCATGAGGTAAACCACTCCTTCTTTCTATGCTACTACCAGGACGAGTAATTACAACAACAATTATAACAACAGCAATCAAAAAGCCAGAGGCAGCTGAGGATCTTTGCAATCCAAATTTCTAAGTCATCACATTCAACCTTAGTTCCTTAGTTTCTTTAGTAGTTGTATCAGACGTAGCAATCCCAGGCCTTCTATGAACAAGTCACGAAAAGTTCAAGATTCGGCGACAGGCCACATCAGGCCTACTCTTCAGCGCCGACATCACTATGTTATGTTATGTTATGTTATGATATGCATTGCATTAATATGGTGTCGATATGGTGTCATACCTAGTGTACTTTTTAAACTGGCAAATATTTAAATAAATTATTCTTATTCGCCTATGTCATAACTCGAATGATTCCATATATAAGTTACTTTTTTTCTGTTGTTTATTCAGTTTAATAAATTGAATTGTTTTATTATTAGAGGGAATTAATACACATATACACAGAAAACGTAATTTTATTTAAGAAAAGACTCAAGCGGCTACTACTATAATCGTTGAATCTAAAATAATACAGTCTGTGTATTTTTGCCGAAAAATAAATCTCACCGTCGCTTCTGAATGAAAAGAAACATGGTGAAAATTGCAGATCAAAATTAAATTCGCTTCACTAAATGCGCCTCAATTATACTTCGAGTGACTCGTGTAATCAGATCTCAAAATGGTCTGTATATGCCATTGGTATTGCAGTTATTTAACTACAATTGGTCCACCAATAAATTATTCTTCGTCAATGCTGAACTAATTTGAAGGAATAATGACTGAAGTTACTGCTTATAAACAGAGGGTTATTCGTCGTAAAATTTCGTAAATGAAGACCTAATAAATAAAGTTACCGTCTGTAACAAAAGGCGTGTAGATATAAAATTCATTACATCAACTATTTTACATTGTTATTCGTACCTATATAGGCCTGGTAAGAACAATTATCGTCAGCAGACAAACGGTTTAACAGTTTTCTTGTTATATAAACATAATCATCGCCACTGACCTTGTGGGAAGAGGTCAAGCTTATTCCCGATTCTGCGCAATGCGTTGTCAGTGGAAGCCTGCAGAGCCTCAGGGACGAATTCTCCGTAGTCCATCATGGTGACTCTAGAAAGTGTCGATAATATACTCTCGGTATTATATTAGTTTTATTAACAGGCTAACTACGGACTTGAAAATATTCGATGAGTGATATGGACTTGATTCATGTGCATGCTCAGTTGCTCGTCGCTGCACGTTCAGAACTTTAAGCTTATAGGAACAAGAACGAATACTAAAGTAAAGAGAAGAATTTGATCTCCGATGTATCCGGCTTTGTACGGATACGTCTAATCAACGCGGTGCAGGCCTTCCTGGGAAAATCTGTGATTAAAAAAATGAACATAGTATAGAACTTCAAACATGATAATTCCTTATTTGAAACACGGTTAAGGTATTAATGACTGAATTGAACACGGCCAAAATAATTTCATGTACAAGATTGGAAGTGCTCTATAGATTTTGAACCTTTCATTACACGAAAGGTCGCATAAAAATGCGTGAAAAAAAAACACTTTTCCTCACAGCTCGCAAGCGCTTGTGAACGATTGAACAATTTAGCGTTCATTGATCTTTGATTCTTATCCCTAACAAAATTCGGGGACCGCCCATAGACCCCGGCCGAATTGTCACTACACACGGCGCAAAGTTAAACTGGGTCTGCTTATGGCCATCCGATCGAACTCAGTTTTTGGTCAGAATCGCCATTCCGACTTTACAGCCACCCGAGAGCATGATAGTATGACAAAGGTTGGCCGAGCCGGGTCATACCGAGCTAGCAAGCTGCCCATGAGGCTGTCCTTCGAACCCTGAGCCGAAGCGGACATAGCGAAGCTGATTTACGTGCTCCCCGAGTCCCATGCGACCCTAATGCAGGGTCGCCGGCGCATCTAAATTTTGTTATGGATGCGACCCAAATAGGGCTAAAAAATTAAAAATATATGCACTAGAAAAATTGCGTTAAAATATCGTGTCTTGCCCTCTGCTCTCCCAGTATTGTTACCCGTACCTCAGTGGTGACTCAGCGAGCTGCTTGATGGTCTCGATCCTGACGGGGTAAAGCGGAACTGTGAGGAACGCGATAAGGTTTCCGTTGTAGCCCGTGATGAAAACAATGCACCCCATGTACCAGACTGCCATCCACACTCGCCGCCACTCTCCCACTCCAAAAGTGGACAAATTCATGGATTGTGCCACCAGAGCTCCTGCGACCTGTCATGGATAAGTTCAGCATTAAGGTTGCACCCATTTAAGACTAAAGCCATTGTTTCATTTTTAAGTGCATATTGTATTTGGTATCACCTATAGGCAGTCAATTTAACATTCGAAACGTAAAAATTCAATTTGATTATTCTCATCTTAAATGATAATTGGTAAATGCATTGAAAAGTAATCGCCCAAATATCCGTAATGAAGCAAAGTTTTGTTTCTGCGTAACTAATCGAATCATTTCAAAACCGGTGCTCTGCTCCCAAGGCTGAATAAATTATAGTCATCCTGCGACCACTGCTCGAAAAAATATTGTGTTAAATATTGTTAAAGATTTTAGTGTTGGCGTAATATCGCAAGCTTTCGTGTTTTTGTTATAATTTTTGGGGTTATTCGTACTCAACAACGTGCTAATGAGCGACGTATATCTGCTCTCTCGTCTTCTAGCTATAGATAACGTGTTAAGGTAAAAACTTCTGCGAATCCCACACGTAACCAAAGTTTATACATACACGAATGGGAGGAATGGAAACCGACTTTAGCAAGACTACTAATTTGGTACAAATTTAAATTGAAATCGAATATTTTAAAACCCTTATTCTATGGTTTTCAAACCATAGGTTTGGCTTTAAAACCCCGTTAAAGTCGTATGTGTGGCGTTGTACTGTGAGACTATCATATGTAAAATCGAGAAATTCGTCTGAGAATAGACCTCTCCTTTCACACCGAAACTTGAAAATTGAATTAATTTTATGTCAGAGCGTGTATTGATTCTTACCAGAAGCAACGCTTTACTGAACTGAAGTTCTGAAGAATCATCTCCAACGTCTATGCGAGTTAGGATCGGGAACATCACAGAGACCAGCAGGGTTACAACACCGATGCTGATCCACGTAACTCGAGCGTAGGGGTAAAGGAAGGACTTCCACTTCGGCAGTGGCTTGGGAAGACGGGCCATGAGCGCAAACGCTTCGGCCTGATGCGGATACGTCGAATCAAATGCAATGTATCGATCAAGGACTATCGTGAAGGAATTGATTGTAATATTTTTTCCATGATAGGCCATTTCTGCAAACATTCCATTCCACGTTCCGTTTTCATTTGATCCCCACAAACAATCAAAAGGTTCCATTTCCAAATTATAAGTAAAATTCAAATGAGAACTCACGATATCCAAAGCGTCTATGTTGGAACCTACGCATGTGTCATTGTGAGGGTAAGGCAGAGCGTAAAGCTGAGGATAATCGTCGCACCAGGATGCGAGTTGCAGAACGCTTCCAGAAAATGTTGCAAAACGATCAATGAATAATGACTCTTCTTTCTCAAAGCTCTGCACGTTCCATCGTCCGAGCAGTCTGAGGGAATTTCTTTGTAGGGGAAAAGTCGTATAAACCAAGCTTGTCTCAAAAGTTTTACTCGGTGTAATAATAACTGCTAATTTCGAACATTGCATTGCTTTGGTGTCAACGAGTTTAGATAATTCAACGTCAGCGCTCAGGCTCAATACTACGAGTTTTTGTGGACACCACAGAGATGGCTTCTCTATTTGCTTGTCAATTTTAAAATCGTTTGAATCAATGAGCCAAATGACGGAAAAGTTCTTCCCAGAGTAAGTCTTTAACGGAAACTTCGTGGGATCGAATTCGTCTGCAGAAGTTTGTATAACAGTAGCGCCCAAAGTTTGCACTTCGTTCCAATAGACGTTAGAAGAATGAGTGTCATCAAAAATGAAGAGATCGTAGCCTTTGAGAGGACCGTCGAGCAGTTCTTGCAGCACCGAAGTTCCTTGAGCAGACCCGGGCAGTGAGACGCTGGACAAAACATTTGAATAGGACGTTACAAAAGGCCATAAGAGGACGAGGGGAAAAACAAAACTGAAAACTGTCAAGTGAATCCCGAGTCTCGTTTCCGTTGACATTTTCGTAATAGCAAACTCCTTATATTTGGTTTATTATGATTCCAAGAGTCACATTGCTGTGGGCTCACTCCGAAAGCCAACTAGGCCCAAGCATCAGCGTTAAATACGGCTCGTGATCGTAGTTCCAACCCACTCCATGTTCATGTTCCAAGGGAATTCAAACTCCACTTGTATTCGCTATATAATGTTTCAAGTTCAAGCCCTAAACTTTCCTGAAAACAAACAAAAAAAACTAATCAATAAAATGCTAAAAATAACAAGGTTCCTACGAATGATAAATATTTACAAGAGAGATCATAGGAACACATTCTAAGTAAATCTATTCACAATAATATATACACGATAGTCACACCTAAAATCCTTCACTAGTACAAGACACGTACCTCCGTCACGTCTCCGCACCAAACAATAACTAGAGCAGCGTTCCTAGAGCGCGGACGTGAACAGTAAGATCGTCTCTAAACCTAAAATTTCAAAAATGTCTTCAATTAAAACCCTAACATTACCCCCCCTCAAGTGCAATACACAATATTGCACTTATAACACATAAAAAGAAAGAATGTCAAGAATCTATAAATCTGTACATTTACGCACGCAGATACTCTTGGAATACATGGTACACCATAAAATTCAACTATTTACAAGCCAGGAAATTTTTATTCAACTTAACCGTACATATCAATCTTAAAGAAACCAGGTACAAATTGCATAATAAAAAAAAGTTCAAAACATAAAGTTCTCAAATCAATAACCGACGACAATTAAAATACATACATCTCACAAATGAAAACTTAACAATATATGCATATACATACACTAGGTTATTTCCTAAGATATTCAAGCGTTTCAATTTGTACACGAGGATATTCAGTTGCAGGACCCTGAGATCTAGTGCGCATCCTATTCTCATCTGCTGTACGCGTGACAAGTTCAGTGACAATATCAGAGGCTTCTTCCTGCTCACGCGTCATATTTCCGCGGGTGGGTTCAAACCTCTTACGCCATGAGTCAGAAGCACGAGTTTCGCTTGCCTTGTAATCGTGTATTCCAGTCTTAATGTACAACAAATGGTCATGCATCGTCATTAAAATATCATTCCGTTCATCGTCAATATAGCCATCATTAAGAATACGAGAGACTGTCTGGACACGATCTATGAAGTCTTCTTGTACTGCAAAAGACTGTTCAAGCCACGCTATGAAATTTCCGTGAGACTTATCATCGTTATTACAACTGCTGGCATGAATTGAAGAGACAGGAGCTGACAGTTCCTGCATCTGGCTGTCATCTACCGGGGTAGACACACGTTGCTTTGGTACCACATCGTCATTATCGGAATCACTACCAAAACTCCAATTAAGGTAATTCTCTTCTGCCGACTCATCACGATGAATTACAATTTCATCAATACCGGGACAACTCTCTGAACAACTCATAGCTTCATACAAAAGATATCTAACCTTCAAACTATAAAATTCCTTTCGCAAAAATGACAATGATAAAAATTCTGATGACTCGCTATTCTGATGCTCCGCGACACAATTATTCTCGTCAGGAGACACAACACAAGAAGGCACAGAAAGATTATCAGAATGGGTAACATCACGTATCCTATCATCAACATTATCAGTTAAATAATCGCTCAAATTACCATCAGAATCAAAGTCACATGAAAATCTAGACCGGTTATGGTTCAATTGTACAGACGAATCCGAATCGGTTGATGAGTCAGGCAAATCAGGAAAAGTATCAGTTCTAGGCAAAAACTCGGCTAGGTAGTCTGGAAAATCGTACCATTTTTTCAATTGCTTATGATGGACTTTTTGTACATTGTTGAACTGGTCGACTATTTCATAGGTTACTCCGTTATTTTGAGCTTTGACGATTGTATAGGGACCGGTATATTTCTGTGACAGCTTATAGTGAAGTTGATTTCCTATTCTATTGTTAACTTTTAAAGCAACTTTCTGATCAATTTCGAAAGGCTGAAACTTGGGATGGGAATCCTTCCAATTAACCTGACTGTCCGCAAAAGCAGATACATCAAATGAGTGACTTTTGGACAGTAAAAAATTGCATGGTGTGTCCTTAATCTGGGAATGCCAAGTGCTATTATAGACCAAGACGGCTTTGCTTAAGGCAACATGCCAGTCCATTGGTTCCTGCGTTACGATGCTCCTTACAAATTCTGCTATCGTTCTGTTCCCGCGCTCAACAGCACCGTTTCCAGCTGCTCTATATTTCGTTGAATACACATGATTAATGTTATACTCTTGCAACAATTCATTGAACAGATCAGATCTAAATTCTGGACCATTATCAGTGAGAATCCTACATGGCAGTCTTAAAAAATTAGGCAGAACCTGTTCGGTTAGCGCTTTTACAACTGAGGACGCTTTCTTATCCTTCAAGGCAACAGCAGATAAAAATTTAGAAAAATGATCTACGACTACAAGAATAGCAACATAACCTTTAGATGACTTTGGAAACTGCATTATGTCCATTGCCACTAAGTCAAATGGAAACCGAGACTGAATTTTTATGACAGGTGGGGAAATATGCTGTGCTGATACTTTATACAATTGGCAAATATTACAAGTTAAACACACGTCAGCAGCTACCTTGTTTAACAACGGGTGAAAAATTTGGTTAGACAGTAAATTAATAAGTTTGTGTTTGCCAACATGAGCAAAAGATTCGTGAACTTTAACAATCTTAGAGACTACAAACGAAAATGGGACTACAGGAACTGACATTTGGCCTCTATCTATAACAAGTAAATCGTAAATTACACGAAATGAATTTGCTTTACATTTGAACGGCGCAAGCGCTTCACCTGTCCAGAGCTTTACGGGTATCTGATTCAAAACGTTTCTTTTGACGGCTGAGAAATAGAATTTCGAGATTCACGCAGCTTAAAATTACTTTGTCTAACCAGGTCATCATTAAGACAGTCTGACTCTACATCATCGTCTGAACTATTTTCAAGCACTATGGATCCAATAAAAATTGCATTTGTACTAAATGAGCTGGAACAGTTTCTTGAGTTATAAGACCTCAATTTGGTCTCTGAACGTGCCTCGACTTCGACACTCTGAACAGACAGTATACATCGGTCAAAATTAAGAGATACATTGTTGTTAATTAAAAAATTTGCTCCTAAAATAAAACAGCATGGCATATCATCTCCACGAACTACAGCTAGTGGTAACACATTGAATTCCGGTACACCAGGGACAGAAAGCGCTAAGTAAACAATACCTAATATGTTGACAGTTTCGCCGTTAATGCTACTTACCATTTTACCATTTAATTGCTCTAAAACAACCTGCACATTACTGTCACGTATTAGTTTGAGCGCCGAGTCGCTAATTAAACTGATTTGCGCACCCGTGTCTACCATAGCACACAGTTTAACAGAAAAAACAGACACAATAACAGATGGGACAGTTAATGATTTATGAGCACATATACTTTCATCAGGCGGTATTTCCGGAACATGTCCACTAGTTACAGCATTCACATTCATGTCATCACAAGACTGTAAGTAATTCACAGCCTTGGCTGCAACAGGAACTTCACTATCACGTTTCCTAATAACACGCAGAGGGTTAAAATGGATACCGGCTTTGCATTGAAGATGTATTACTGGGTTAACTGCTTTTGGATCTACTTTATAAACAACAGGCCAATCAGTGCCGTGGTGAACATGGATTTCTATACCAAAAACAGAACACGCGACAAAAAGCAGATTTTCACACGGTAATTGCCCTTATCTCTTCATGATCGCCATCCTATTCCTAAAATTACGATCAGGCTGAACGTTGAATTTTCTAGGATTCTCGTATAAAAATTGGACCAAACCACGTCTTAGGTCTGCATGAGTCTCAGGAACTTCACACGAAAGAGGATCTTCGACTTCACTTAGACATGCATGCAAGGAAATAAACAAGGAATCGCCACCACCTTCCACGCTCTTAATCAAACTTAGCCTCTTGGGAAGTATGTCTGAGGGTGGGTCATCTTCACGATCAGCAGGCACATTGATTACACGTGACATAGTATCAGCTGCAGCGTTATCTTTGCCGGGT